CAAAAGTACCAAATTATGGTTTAATTGAAATAAATGCTTTGACTTTGACTTTGAAGTCCTTGGGGATGCAAGTGGAAAAGCGAAGAAAAGTCACAGAACTATTGTTTATTTGAGTAACTACAATAGATAACGTTAAGTACATATATGTACAATAAACATATCCATTACGATACATTTTCCAGATAATAAAGAGCATTTACCTTCGAAAGAATTATAAGGACATTAGCAAATCTTATATTTACATTAAGGAGGTCGAATGTTTTACTTGCCAAAAACAGCTATAAATTATACCAATATTTAGGTTGCGTTTTAATTATAAATGTAATGTTTTAAAAACACAGTTGAATGTTTTAGGGTTGGGTGTCTACTCCAAGCGAGCGTGGTAACGAAATAGGATTCTTTGGTATTTATATAAGGTTAAAATTAGAATGTTAGGACATGTAAATTATGTATAACATAAACATAAACACATTTATTGCTTTATAATATCATTATAAAGCAATAAAGATAATATTCAAAATATTCTATCTTGTTCTTTAAAATTGTGATCAGTTTTCTAGATCAGTAGTACCAGTAAGTAACAGTATAGTACTAAAATGTAGTCTAAAAATGGATTGAACTAAGATATCTAAGTAGGTAGCTATTGTACTATATTTTTAATATAGTACCTTTCATATTTTATTGTTTTAGGAACTACAGGTTTGCATGTGTCAAACTATATTGTAATCATTTATTTGTAAGAGACTGTTTGTTTCTTGGATAAAGATTAAATAAAAAAAATAACCTTTCACCCTATATCTTAAAATCTTTATTTTATTTTGGCACTTATCAATTACAGGATGCCATGTATAGATAATCGCCAATACTAAAAATAGAAAAGTCCACTAGCAGTTTACGCATTTTGTCCATCACTGTACAATTTTATATATTTAAGAAAAAGCTGACATACATAAACAATGAAAACCTCTTTACTGACTAGTAAACCAATTACGTAATAGTCTTGTACTTTTTATTATTCTCAAATCTAGTGAGAAAATAAAAAAAGGTTCATAAAACTAAGGTTGGGATAAAGACCGGTGATCCATCTGATACACCTGAGTAACGAAGGCTGACCTACGGCTTTACCACCTCGGAAAGCTAGCTGACGGGAATTTACGATACACAATTTACTTCTAAACGTTTTAACAAAGCCTTTGTGTAAAGAGTTAGTCATGAAAGAACTAAACAAAGGTATGTTGCTGTTCGACTGTGAAGGGTTTTGGTACTATTGTTTCAATCGTTGCAACATTTTAGGGTTTACTTCTATGTAGGCAACTCTATGTAAAAACTTCCTTTGTAGGGCGATAAGAAAAATTGTGGTAACTGATAACGTAGTGTGTTCGCATTCGCGGTAAAATTCAAAATTCGAAGCCCCGCCCACGCTTCGCTCGAGCGGGCTCCGCGCTCGCCGACAGTCGCTACCGAAACGTTGAGTGAGTGATGCTGGAATACTGAAATTTTACTCAATTTTAAGCCGTGCTTAAATATTGTGCTGTCTCTGTCATTTTACAAAGAACTTGTAGAGACAGAACTATTCTTAAGCGCGACTTAAAATTGAGTAACGTTTCAGTATTCGGGCATGAGCGTGTTTGATCGCTCCGCGTTCCCGCCAATTTTCTTAGTTTCTTGAATTCATTGTGGAAACATCAAACCCTAATCTGTAACATTATATGTTATGCTTTTAAAACAGCAGTAATACATTTTACAAATAATTACCACTCGCTAGAAGACATGTAGGTAATGTTTGACACGGGTCTATATTTTAAGAGTTTTACTATCATCGCTAAACGATTATCTCTGAAGTCGTTCGGTAGGCATATGGGAATGGCACTTAGGTGGCTGCCTAAAAGTTTCTGCTGTCCGGCAATCAGTATGCTGATTCAAAACCTGTAATTGATAAAATTATGGCTATAGCTATGTTATAAACTTATGAGGACGAAATTATTATTCTTAAGTTATAAACAAAATTGTATTGTGTTCCATTTTGTTTACGTGACTGTACCTAATTTACTTTTGCAGTAATTTGTCGAAATCTCTTGAGAATCGCTTGACATTAAGTAGATTGTTATCCCTGGATAATCAGTTTATACCCGTCGTCGCTGATACCAAACTTGATCCAGGCTTAACCTGCAAATTTGTTTAAAATACAATTATGAATTGTCAACGTATTTTTGTATAACTTTAGCATAATTAATTCGAACGAAATCTCGAAACTTTATGATTGTTCACGATGGTGTTATGAACTTGAACACTGTACTTATTAAGAGAGTATTTTAAAAGTTTAATTAGTTTTGTTTTGCCTCGTATTTCCTGGTTGGCAAGTTTTTGTTTTGAATTTGAAACTGAAGATAGAGAAGTATTTTATGTTTTCATTGAACATTTATATCTATGCATATAATAAAGTCGTAGAAAAGTGAAAAATGTATATTGAATGTATAGTCATCAAGGTCAACATCTACAATCGATACCGAAGCCAAAAATATGGTTTTTATAATTTTTGTCTGTTTGTCTTTATGTATGTCTGGGCTAAACTTAAAAAGTATAGCATAGATTTACTTCAAATTTTGCATTAATATTACTAACAGGTCGGGGCAACATATAGGCTACATATTATCACGCTATCACCTAAGGGGGAGAAGATGTGAATCACTACACGACAAAGTCGCGAGCACAGTTGTAGTTTATGCAATAAAATTGTTGGAGTATGAAATTTAAACTGACAGCATGTTTACATAACAAATTTAAATAACATTTTAACGTTTAAAGAATGTATTTTATCTTTCATAGGTAGAAATTGAATGAAGATATTTGGAGCTTAGACTACGGGATTTTCCAAATATTTGTGGAGACACCTTGAAGGTAGATATAGTTGACAAGATTCTAACAAATATTAGCATAATCCGCCAGTAGAGAGCTGTTAGAACATAACTTTGGATCGTACCAACTAGTATTTTACTACTGGTATTAACATAATATTGAACAAAATCTTGTATAATTACGTACTTAAAACTTGTGATAGTAAAAACTTATATAAAACTTGTTCAACATCAACATGAGTAGTTGAATATTATTTAAATATTTGGTAACATTTTTAAAGCGATACTATAATAATAATTAATAATAATGTCCCTGGACGTTGCTGCAAAAGGTCTATTTATTCTGTTTAGCATACAGCCTAATATACCCGCCTACTCGATTAGACAAATTAATGTATAACAATAGGAAGTTCCATATATTTATTAAGTTAACAATCAAGTTCTCGAATAAGACTGAAGATACATACTTTTTAATAAAGCTAGGTGTGATGACTAAATATTATATTTTTATTTGCAAATCTGCGAACGCTACAGAAAACTATTTGTTTATTTAAGTAATATCTATTTTTTTCTATCAATAAACTTTATTAATACGAATTTAAATAAAATAAATATATACAACTTAAAATATAACTAACTAAAAACTAAAATATTTACACCTTAAAAAAGTAATAATAATATGAATGCTATCTTAAGGTATCAAAATAATAATAAAAAAAGGAAAAACTTCATAAACTATGAAAATAGGTATATCGTTTTTTTGTAATACCCCAGGGTAACAATACGGCAGGTGTCCTACCAAAATGTATTCATAATATGCTACATTTGTACAAAACTATTCGTACTAAATGTAATAAGAAATGCTCTCAGAACTACCGGGTATTTTTAATATAAACTGTATACTAAATTCCACTACAACAATATCCTTTGGTTTCTCGAAAAGAAACCGTATTATAAATTCTTATGAACTATTTTCGTAGTAGGTATCTGTAATCTCGCATTCACGTGATCTCTACCACTGAATGTGATACTTGCACCTCTATAGATAATGGTAGAGATATTATGAAATAATAGTTTATTTTCCTTGAACTTGATGTTTTTCTTCGTATCTGTTTATAAGTATTCGTATTATTATACATACGTCATTTTTATTGAGGGTTTGCACCGTTGATGCTTTGGCAAAGCGATTTATGGCTCTGCTATGTACCCAAATCCTGAAGGGAGCAAAATTGAGTATTTGTATGGTCTGCAAATATATGGACCAGGGCTTCGAGTGATTTTTAGTCAGTAAGAGTCTGACAGTCCCTTTCGTCCTCCCCAGGCGAGGGGGCTCCATGAGGATTTCCCACCTTGGGGTTAAAAAAGGGCTTCGAATTATAAGCAATAATTAAACTAACACATTAAAGTAATATTTTTTCGCTAAAGTCTTTGTGCTCACGTTAAATCAACTCCATAAAGCAATAGCAAGCAAACATTAGGTACTGACAAAGTACACACCCTATGAAAATTAATGATTTCGTCATATGACTAAAACTTAGTGTTTACACATGTAACTATAGAACATGGAATGTATGATTTATTGTCCAATGTACTTACTAGGAATTTACATATTCAATGTTATTTTGATGTCGTTATATGGCTTTTTAATTGTCACTGAGTCATGTTGCGACAAAATAAATGATAGGTTTTCAGTATGGAGTGATGTTGTTATGGGACAGACATAATAATTTGTACGCCTTTTATTCCTACCATTTTTTGCTAGATAGTTTTATGATTTCATGTCTACCTAATATGGTCATTTTTTAAGTGGGAGAAATTATCAAATGGCTTGGCCTGGGTGAAGCAGGAGGGAGTGTCAGACTCTTACTGACTAAAAACTACCCCGTTCCTACTCTTGCACTTTGAGCCCGATCCTCTCGGCCTTTTTCTCACTCTAATTAGGTTACGGACGATACTAACTGATAGTAATGGTTAACCCAATGACTTCTATTCCTTTACAACCCTATAAGAGTTTCAGTATTCCACATCTTAGTAAAAACGGTAGTTTGGTCTTCTGTCAACTATGTAGACTGTCATAATTATGTGTTTTATGGTGACAATAATACATTCTGAAATTAAATTAAATCTTTCTTTCCTTCTTTCCAGAATCACTCTTGGCAACTGTATGGGTTTGGGTGAAAGGCCATTCAGTCCACCATGGTGGGTGCAACTGGCTTGGTTCATGGTATTCGCAATCATGCTACTGCTCGCTGTCTTGGGGAATACCTTAGTCATTTGGATAGTTTTGGGTGAGTAACAATCTGTTTAAATTTTGATTTGTAGAATATAGAGGATACCAGTATCTATTAAGTCCATTGTAAGTAGCACAAATTAGTATGAAAACCACAGTCACATTTATTAAAGAAAAAAATTATGATGTTGGAAATTACATAATGAAGAACTGGGAGTTTGCGATAAAATGCCGTATAATATTATGTATAATACGGCACAGAATGGAATAATCAAACATGTAACTTAAAATAGAGGCCTATCCTTTCCTGGCATAATTGAAATAAATGGTTTTGACTTTGAGGCAGAAGCAAAAAAGAACTTCAAATCCCTACATGAGAAATGTTTCAACAGTATTTAAAAATACCTTGTTCAAATCCAACTAAAATATCCTGAACAACTTTTGCTCTTACCTCTAAGAACGTGCTCATTATTAATAGTGGGAGAGTAAATTTAATTATTTTAGAAGGAAACAATGAAGCGCCCGGTGAGCCAAAAGATAGCTCAACAGAGTAATTAATATTCTTGACAATATTCTACCTTGTAATGATTCATTGAACGTTCTCCCTTTAATCTGGGTAAAAGTAAACAAAACTGTGGGAAACATTGTAGACGACAGTGACTGACTTACTCCTTTGGCTCAACAATTTATTTAATGTTTACCTCTTTAGAAAATTGGTTCGCGAACTTTTAATTTCAGTCATTATTGTTAAGGGCATAGATGCTACTTAGATTTGACCGCATTGTTACTCTCGGTACCTATTATTACTCTGACCTAATTTTCTATCAATGGCACAACCTTCTTCAAAAATGTTGTTTTAGATCTGATAGATATTTACATTTAAATACTCTCCACATTTTTCTTGTTCAATGACAGATCGATTCGTTTTTTTTTCAGTTTATTTTTTTCTAGTAATCATAAGAATACATACTTTATTTTACCTAAATCTATTTGCAGAATCTATAAGTGAAACCATTTATGGGAGTTTATATTCAGTAACTTTATCATAGCCTTTAGCATCGACATAGGTCTATATATAACATAATACTTATTATTCTTTGAAGAGGAATAAAGTAAATCCAGCAAATCCCTTAAAAAGAGAGTACAGGCGTTCTCTAATACCAAAAATGTTTCAAGGAAAATCGTTTTGTTCGGCATTTTAGCCAGATTGTTGCAGCAACTGAGAATAATGTAGCCAACTTGTATAATGCATATCGTTAAGAATACATTAAGGCTACTTCCTCATTCGTCAAAATGTAAATCGAATTTGCAAACGAGAAAAGAATATATATTATTTAAAATCCCTTTTCGTAAATTTACGATTTCGAAACGACTTTGATTATAAACGTTCGTTTCGATTAATCGATGAATCGATATGAGATTAGCTTCAGTTTGAAGATATGTTTGTTTAACAATATTAATAGCGATAAATTTAATGGAGATTCCGAGAAGTTCCATTGTCATGATTAGGGACATTGTTTATGAACCTATTCGAACACCCTGCCTGTTTTTCTTTGAAGCTTCAGCACTCACGACTCATATGTATATTACATTTATAGGTAATGTTTTATTGATGACCTATATACATACTATAAACGAGATATATAAATAAGTGTTGTTTGTTCTGTAGAAGACAAGTATTGTTAAATAGCTTCAGATTCAATCGTGACGAATAAGGTCCCTTTTCACCAACGAAACTGATCACGATTACACCTAACAAAACTGATTTAAAGCGTCTAATCGAATTTAAAGCGTTTAAACGAAGTTACAACTTCATTTTACATTTCACCGCTACAAACAGAAACTAGTTTACACGGAACTCAGTACAGAAAACACAGAACACAGAACTTAGGTTACTTTAAACTTAGGTTACGTGTAACTGAGTTTTTACAGAGCTTGGTGAAAAGGGACCTAAATGTGACTTAAAATTGTTGATAGTGACTACTTGTGCGTACTGCTAAGGAGTGGAATCCTTTGCCAATGTCTGTGTTTCCAGAAGAGTCTAGGTCCAGAAAGTCCAGAGTCTGTATTTCATGGGTATCTTCAAGGTCCGAGTGAATAGGTTGCTTATGAACAGACGTGCTTCATCATTGGCTGCATCATCGCTTACCAACAGGCAAAATAGTGGCTAAACGTCGGCCAATCAACAGGCAAAAAAACTAACCCTTACAAGACTTAAAAATATAAAATTATTTCCTTTCATTTACTCAACTAAAATTTAAGCAAGTCATGAACGTTAGACTACAATAAATAAGTTTTAAAACTTTGAATTTTAGGAAAAATAAAGCGACACGTACCTACTCGGACGTGAACCACATAAAATGCAGGGCACAACAACGTGTTACGTGACATCCCTAGCTATGGGGTCTCGTTTCACCCAACATCATAAAGCTATCAGGGTTACCCCAAAAAACACCATTAGACTTAAAATTTCAGTTTACCGGACTGAAGTGACTAAGGTGAGTAGCTTCGATGTCGTGGTAGCTCGGAGATTTAAGATGGCCCGCTTCTCATGCAAGTAGAAACCTAATAACGGCAAGTACCAATATGACAGGGCCGATGCCGATTCGGAGTCGCGGAGAACCTAACGGGTAACCGGGGCTCCGGCTCGACGTGCAGGAGAAGGAACGGGGTGGTTTTTAGTCAGTAAGAGTCTGAAACTCCCTTCCGCCTCACCCAGGCGGGAGCAGTCATTCGATGATTTTCCCCCATTAAAAAAAAAGTACCAATGCGACTTTTTCCAAGTTATGTGTACAGTCTAAGATTATTTAGATACAACTGACAAACAGTAAAGGAATTCATCGTAACAAAACCTGGACTTAACGATTTCAAACGTTTAACTAATTTTTAGCAACCGTAGTGATTAAAGTTCAAACCTTCTCTGAGCAGGAAGAGGCCTTAGGGCCACGACATTTTCCCCCCATAAAAAAAATGGCCACGACATCACTCAATGACATATTTTGAAAAACTTTGAATGTTCCTCTAATGTCGTCTGGACATAGAATGAAAGATAAATGAAACATTAACTGGGGGAGTATTTATTGGAGAGAACCGTCTGATATTGTTATCACCTATACCTATAGTATAAAGCAACTTAGTTGTTCAGTAGCAGTATTAGTTCAATCTATGTGTGTAAGTACTCTACGCCTGGAGGTCTATAAGTATGTTTTCTTAGTTTTACGTAGTCTGACTAAGATTTCTTGCCAAAAATAACAAGCTTTCTAATATTGTAATTTGTATAATATTGTTTTGAGAGATTAAGTTTGTTTAGTAAATGGGTCTGAGTCAGTCTGTCTCTGACTTCATGATGTTATGCGCTATTTATTTGCTTATGTATTTATTAATTTAATGTTGTGTGTCTATATAGTCAAATAGACATGCTATTTATTTAACCTCTGCCTCGTTGGCCGAGTAGTCGCAAGTGCGGCAAGGGGTCTTAGGTTCGATTCCTGAGTCAGGCAAAGTATTACTAGGTTTTTAATTCTCAGTAGTAGCACGTACTCTGGAATTGTGCCCGGTATATGGCAATAGGCTCACCCCCTATTACATGGGACTCATAACATAATAGTGAAAAGTGGGTGTTACATTGTACAACGGCAAAATGTGCACCTCTGCCTACCCCTTCGGGGATAAAGGGCGTGATATTATTTATTTAACCCGTGGTATGCCAGAACGCAGATCTACACGAACGAAGTATGGATGAAATTGTCAGCACCTACTTACGATGTATAAAATAGAGTCTGCAATGATAGATACATAAACATAGTGGTTCACATCTAGAACATAAATCATAATGAATATAGAATCCAAAAAGATAAATCTAAGTGTGACTACAGTTTTTCACTGAATCCTAGTATTACAAGTCCATCATTATTTTCTGAACCCTATTTTTTCTAGAGAGCTACAAGAGGCACAATTCTCTCCTGATTACAATTACATTCACACACTACTTGCCTTTTATTATCATCTGACCCTCTTGTTGACACATTCGCATTCGGCTCGCATTCTACAACCTTAGCTTATCCCTATGTACTTTTGTACTTATAGATAGATAGTGGCTTAGTAAACGACGTACTCTGACGTTATTGTACTTCTCGAAGATAGCGTATAACTATTTCAGTTGCTCATTTCTGATGTAGATGTGATTCTGCCTCGTCGGTCGCAAGTGCGACTGCCAGCTAGGGGTCTCGGGTTCAATTCCCGGCAAAGTATTACTGGGTTTCTAAAAAAAATCTCACTAGTCGTATGGAGTCTGGAATTGTGCCCGGTATATGGGAAAAGGCTCGCCCCCTATTACATGGGGCTCGTAACATACATAGTGAAAAGTGGGTGTAACATTGTACAGTGGCATTAAGTGCCATAAATGTACACCTCTGTGTAGACAGAGGTGCACATTTAAGGAAGGAGGAGGAGTAGTCCTTGGGGGATAAAGGGTGACGTTATGATGGAATAAGATTTGGTTAATTGTTAAATGGGACCGAGGTGATTGATTCAATTTCACTACTTTTCTGCCCTTTTAGTCATATCATAAGTTTATACATATTTTATTGTCTAATATCAAATACTGGGTATCACTTTGTATGAGTATGAAAGAAAAATACCTTAAAGTTGGTTAAAAGATATTAAAAATCACGATTGTCTTTCGTTAAGTAACGATAAACATTAATGTCAATTGTGTTTCTTATATCATATTATGTAGGTACGAAAGAATAAAATATGACGTGTACATATGTATGTGTGATGAAATACAAGTAAGAAAATGTATGAATGTTATACCTGATGGATATCTAATTATAATTTACTTCGTGCGTGGGCATTTACTCATGAGGAAATTGTGGGTAAATGTACTGGGAATAGTGAGGACCTTTTTATAGTAATACGTCAACAGAAATATTAACGGTCAATTACATCATTGGGCAATTGATTTCACGTTGAATTACATATTCAGATTGTTGCTAAGGGAATTTCCAGAGACCTTGCTGAAAATGTTTATTGACCTTGTATGAAAATGACACATCATCAACAGCCTATAAATGCCCACTGCTGAGCAAAGCCTCATCTCACACGGCGAAGGTTTGAGCATCAATCACCTCGCTTGCTCAATGCGGGTTGGCGATTACAAAGTTATAATTAGAAATTATAAGTCCAGGTTTCCTCACAATGTTTTCCTTCACCGTTTATCAGTGGTGTCTGAATAATCTTAGAAAGTACATATAACTCGGAAAAAGTCACTTTGGTACTTGCCGTTGGTAGGTATCGAACCCGCACCCTCATGCATGAGAAGCGGGCGTCTTAAACCTCCGGGCCACCACGACACGAAAATGACACAGTTGCGAGCTAATGTGTTTTGCTTCAACACACTTCTTCAGATGAAATAGGTCAGGTCTTTAATCAACATTAGGTGTTAAATTTTATAATAAACCTTGAATTTATTTCAATTTTTGTAAAAGTATTAATTTTAATTCTTTGTCCACAGCACATCGTCGCATGAGGACAGTAACAAATTGCTTCCTCGTGAATCTAGCGTTCGCAGACTTGTTGATGGCTACCCTGAACGGAGCACCAAACTTCATATTTCTGGTGACCGCTGACTGGCCCTTCGGGTCAGTGACCTGTACTGCAAGCAACTTCACTGCCAATTTGACTGTATCTGCTGGAGTGTTCACACTAGTCGCCATCACTGTTGATAGGTAAGTCTTTTTCTTAAAATAATGGTACTTTACGATGTCATGTTTTATATTCTTTCTAAGCTTGCTAACTTACGATGATGCAGAAAATATTGTAATATCGTATGCTGATTTTAATTATGTTATAAAATCATGTCCTCGCCGTATTAAACACTTAGAGTGGCATGTCAATCAGAAGTATTGGAGAATTGGTGAGAGTGAGAAGTGGAGGTTTGAGTTTCACCAATTTAAAACTTGGAAGCTAAAGTGTTAATATAATCTCTAACTCTGAAAATGATAATAATATGGTAAAAAATTGAGGCGCATATTTCCATGCGACTATCAGCGATGAATATAGGTGGAACCTTATCGTTGAATTTAGCCAGCTACAAGTTTGTTTCTTACCAACAATTTACTAAAAGCATTAGATATTCGTGTATATTTCAAAGAATTCCTAGAACAAGTTAAATTGGATCATTCCAAATTATATTACGTAAGAAGGTGTAACATAATATTATGATGTTCTGATTTAGTTTATCTCAGATCCTTTCGCATCAAACTTACTTAATCACACTTAGCGTTCGAAACCAGGTTATATTATCTATACTAATATTATAAAGAGGAAAGATTTGTATTTTTGTATTTTTGTATGTTTGTAATGAATAAACTCAAAAACTACTGAACCGATTGCAATAATTTTTTCACCATTCGAAAGCTGCGTTATTCAGAAGTAACATAGGCTATATAATATCACGCTAGGTCCTATAGTTGTGGAGCAGTAACCAAAAATGTTTTAAAAACGGGGGAAAAGTATCGTTTCTGAGGCCTTCCGTAGCGTGCGCTGAGCATATAGTTAAAGTTATACAAAAATGTTCTATAGATGAATTGTTTATCTTAACATTATTTTTAAAAAAGTCCGCGAGAGCATATGTCTACCTTTTATAGTTTACCCATAACAATCGTTTTAATGAATGGTTCAATCCTTATAAAAGTTTGCTCTAGATAACTTTTGAATTGTTCAATCGGTTACCTTAAGACGCGACATCGACAACGGAGGGCAGGTCGCTAAAAAAAAACTGAGAATAAATATAAATAAAACGTAAAACTATGTAAAAAATCTTAAGTCCCCCCGTGCGAAGCCGGGACGGGCCGCTAGTAATTTATAATTATAATAAGATTATTGTAGGTAATTAACTTTTCATGTACCGTCAAGTTACCAGTTGCGTAACAAGAAGTCTTGGGTTTGGGGTCCTTCGATTTTTGTATTTCTCACAATGCGCTGTAGCAAAATTATAAGCATACTATCTACCTTCCCTATGGCTCATTTAATATTAGCGAGTCCACGTAGGTACACATTCGGAAAAAGAACCGTCATACTCATACCCTAAAATACATTTTTATCTTCATTCCAATGACATTTCGACCTTCCTTCATTATTAACCAACTTAAATGCCATATACCCAAATTAGAAAAATTTGGTGTGAAATATTAATTTTCGTAAGTGGAAAAGTGAAAATATTTGTACATTTCCAATTAACTTAAGAATAAACCGAGCAGTGAGCCAGTGATTAAGTTGTAGTACCTACCTTCATTAGGCCGAGAGCCCGCTACAGTAGTACCTACCGCATGAATAAAATTCTGATTTTATTCGCCATCTAATTTTTTAATGTTCATGAACTCTTGTACTAAGATATTCTTGATAATTAATTTATAGGTAGTTGTTGCTGTGATTTTACACTATAAGTCGCATATTATAATGAATGTGATAATTCACATTGTAATAATTTACAATCGATAGTTAAAAAAAATCTCACTACGTGTTTTCATAATTCTGATATACCTATTACTGAATTATCGAATGCACATATACCTCCATATAACAATAAAAACGATAAAGTACCTAATAATTAAAAACAGCAAAAATTAAAAACATCATTTTTTATTCTGACTACTCTAAATATAGAGTCCTAGTCGATTTAGTTCTATAAAATATAAGCACAGGTTTTATAAATATTTACACAAATGCATACGTTTTATAGTTTAACCCTCTTAATTGTTCGTCACCACAAAAATTCGAACTAATTTATACACAGTGGCCAACCGTAATTAACTTTCAGGTTTACTGAGAACGAACGAATAAAAAAATGGAATATAACGCGATAATATAGACACAGTATAAACATATACAGTAGGTTGTCTAAGGCCGCCCGCCGAGTTATTAGCCTACTCTTGCGTTGATCCCCAGGGTTGTCACTTTTACTTTTAGTTAATATTTTCGAACAAGCAGCACTTGATCCAAATTTATGAAATGAAAAGCATATTATGATTGAATATTTTATCAATTTATAAATTTAGTAAAAATAAAAAGCTTATAAAAAGATTATAAACTTCTTAAAATAAACTTTAGCTCTATACATAGTATTCAGAAAGTAAATTTGGGAATACATTTATATGGAAAAATGCGACTCGGCTACGTTCTTAACAAATCAGATAAACTGTAAATTAACAATACAATACCACATTTTCTTATAATATTTAAGTATAGTAGGTAATTACATTTCTGGTTGAGTAGGAACTATGAAGAATGATAAGAGTAAGAATAAGTAAGTAGGTATCTCATCATCAAGTACCTACAAATTATATTATGCTAGAAAAAGTGACTAGCTTACCTTTCCTGTTCAATAGGTACCTAATCTGAACAGAGACAGTTCTGGAATCAATTAATTATTAAGACACCCAAACACACAGCAATACGTTCTTCTACGATTATCAGACATTTTTTATTTCATTGAACAGTGCCGAAAAGCCGTGAAGCGCGCGCGAACCCCGTGCAGTGTTAGCCCTGCCTGGCGCACTGAGAAACGGGTCGAGATTTTGTTAAAGTGTGCGTGCGTCGACGCATAGATACTATGGCGCACACATATAAGCCGCGCGCGGAGCATTTGTATGAAGATAACCTACTTTGTTCTTTATACTATGATATAGAGGTAGAAAGGACACGTCAATTTTGATAAATCGAATTCCGATATTCTTTTTTGCTAGAGGACATTCAATACCTAGTGAATGAAATCTGTGAATTGACAAGGTATTATTTTTAGTACACAAAAGCACATACGGTAATTATAAGTTATGTTCACAGTTATTTATTAATTTTAAAGAGCAAAAAGCGTCTTTATTCCCATTATAAAACTTAAAAATATTACTGAATACATTTTATTTTTATGGAATAGGGGCAAACGAGCTGTCTTAGTTTTTTATTTCTCCAAATTCATGGGACCCATTTTCAGAATCTGAAAACAATCAGACTACAAACAGGTCGAAGTCATACTCAATGTATATTGACCAACTTGGATAATAAGAACTAGAAAATAATAGAACGGCGACCCAATTATTCCCTTGCTAATCCTTCAACAATCAAAAGTAATGGACTTTGGTGTTTCGTGTGTCCATGCGCGGCACCGATTGCTTACCATCAGGTTATCCGTATGCTCGTTTACTGGCTCATCCATAAAAAAACGACCCTTTTATAATTGATTCAATACCATCTCATCGTGTATAAATTCGGTACCCTTGACCCGATTCAGTACCCTCAGTGTCATATTTACAAAAGACAACCTAATTATGACCGAACTTCTAACAGTTACAACCTACGTTCGAATACCTAGCACTTACTCCAAACTAGCTGTGACCACTATAAGGTTAGTCTAGATCAACTTAGTCTAGGACAAAGTAGTTTAGACTAGTTGTCGGATAAGTGTCTGTGCAAATATTATCTATGCTCAATATTAGGAGTGGTTATTGGGATGGGCGAACGAACTTAAGCGATCATAGCACGATAATTATATTGAGTTAACATTTTACTTCTTGAAAAATGTAACGCGTAACATAACGTCATGAATTTTAATCTTCAATGAGGTAATCAGAAATAATTCAGAAATCGAACCTGAGACCCTTATACGGAACTCGTGGCCATAATATATTCTTTTATTAATAGCGCAAATATTTTTCACAAAGTATAATCATTTTAAAACATTATAAAATTGATATTACCAACTCTTTAAACTGTCAAACACCAAGCGGTCACCGGTGACCGCGACCTATTGTTCTTTAATTGTGTCTATAAAACCGGTACTCGACGAGTTAATATAATTTAATCTATAAACGCTTCAGGTAAGTACATTTTACAAAAATAAAGTTGTTTACAAATGCCTTGTTCTGACATACAGATGAAAATTCCTTTCGAAACCTTCAAAAACAAAAAAGAGGTTTTATTTGTTAACGTTACTTTGCTTTAAATCAAATTCCTAAACAAAAAGAATGTTCACAAAATAAAACTTAATACTAGCCTTTTTTAAAATACGAATTAAGTCTAAAAACACAATAACGTTACGCGAATATCCTAATTTTTACAGTTTCTTGTTTTTTTTTTATTACAACTCCGATACAAGGCGATGTCTTCTCAAACCCGTACTTTAGCAGTCGTAAATTCGGACCCACTATCCCTTATTTTATTTCCCAAACAGCCGGAGACAAATTTCGCTAACAAGATACTTTCTTGGCGTTTTATGTTCTAATAACTTCCTTATTTACTTTAACTTTGCTTACTACTTAGTGTGAACAAACTTTGGGCCAGTATCTTCAAAAGTTCCTTTGGGGTCCTTTTTCATCAATCAAGTTGTCTCTAATCTCTATCTCTTGCAATGTAAATAATAAATAAAACATACACGTACTGCATACTAACAACCAATGATCGGTTACTTAAGAAACCATTCTTCGTCCTAAGTAAATATTTTTATATGTGAGTTAATTGAAAAACTGCAATTTCTTACTTTTTTTATTATCTTCTAAAATAGTGAAAGTTTGGAAAAGGTTTTAATTCTATTCTGAAATGAAGATAAGGGTAGGTATTTACTACCTTTAATAAATAATGCAAAGTAAATAAAAAGCCGCTTTGAAAATAGAACCAGTCATTAAACTTGCTCTTATGAGCACACAACCAACTAAGTAGACACAATATTGAAACT